ATTTATCACCCTAGATATATTTATATTCTCAGTGCAATAACTGATAACTAATCAAATATATCTCAAATATTTTCCAAAATTTCCCAAGAAAAATTAATTCTGTATTACTTAAAAAATGTAATGCATATGCCATTAAGCACTTCGAAAAGAAAAAGAATGGTATTAAATCTAACTCCAAAAATATATAGGAATTTGATTGAGTGTCATCACTCGAATGGTTGATTTTATTTTACTAGGTATTTAGAAGATATGAGGAATTATTAGAAGACAATCTAAAATAAAGCCCAGGGCATCTCTGTTGTTGTTGTTCTCATTTTTTTTTAAGTGAAATGATATCTTTTTTAGAAATCCATGAATATAGTGATAAATTGAGACACCTCATAGAGAAAAGGGAGCACTTAACAGTGACAATTCCTACAAACAATATTTTGTACTAAATACCTATCAGGGAACATCTGAGAATTACCAAAAAACTGCACACATGGCTATGTGCTAGATTGGCTAGAAAAATTACTTGCTTTTGACTATGGTAACCTGAGATTTATTCTATCATACACATCCTGTCACAAGGTAAACCTTCTTAGAACTAGAATCTTCCTTCTGCTATTGTTTAACAATTCTACACCTTCTCCCAACTCCCTCTACTTTTAGAAAATTAAGTTACCCATAATTCGCCAACATTTTGAATACATTTCAGCCTTCTTTGAGTGAATGTACTCACCTCTTCTTTCCCGCTGTCTGGCACTCTGTAATACACCTCCCCTGTCGATGGGTCATAAGAATCTATGTATGAGGTGCAAGGTAAAAACTTTCCATCTATGAAGTTTTCCAGCATCAAAAGTGCCTTTGTTGCAGCCATAGCGAGGAAGAAGCCTGCCTTTCCCTGTCACAGTCCTGCACTCAGGCTGTCCCCACCACTTTCCCTACTTCCGAGTCAGTCTCCTCGCTCCCAGCCCTAGTCATTTGCTAAGCGGTGCAAGTGGGAGGTGACCTGACACTCAGAGAAAATTCCAGCCTCCAAACTAGGTACTAAGAGAGCTCTCGGATGTTTCAGAGACTTACACTACGTGATGAGAAATGGATAATCGTGTGTGAAACTAACATCAACGTACGTGTTCATAGCCCTTTAAAACTTTCGAAAGGCATCTGTGTGTAGGATTTTACTGGGTTCGCACCATAAACCGTTCATTGCTCAAACACTGACGGAGTGTAAGGCCCCGAAGCAAGTCCTTTACATGAATTGACTCATTTATTCCACACGACAATCTTGTATGAAGGAAATGTCATTCCTTCCTTTCTTTTATAGATGAAACTGAGCCTCGGAGAGTTAGACAATTTGTCCATGGTTGCTTAGTTAGCAAGAAATGAACTCTAGCCCTTTCGTCTCCAAATCATGTGCTTTTTCTTCAATGCATCACTGCTCGCCCCGCGGAGACACTCTCTCTCCACTGTTAGTCTGTTTTTCTTTACCTTGGCTGCCTTCTCTGTGAAGAGCTGTCTCTCTATCCCCAAAACCAGGGCTGCAGCAGCAGCTCGCATCTTCCCAGATGTGCACTGAGATGAAGCTACAAGCCAAAAATGTGCATGACACATACAGCAAGCAAGGGACTCGTGGTGTGGGTGAGAATTTCTACATCTTGGTAAGAGAAATGAGCAACCCAACAAAAAGGATAAGCAAAAGATACTTAAAAAGTAATTTATAGCAAAGGGGAACACAATTGGCTAATGAATATATCAACAGATGTTCAGCCTCATTGTTAATCAGGAATGTGAAATACAAAGAGGTACCCTGATTTGCCAATCACACTGGAGAACATTTTTAAAGATTGATAACATCCACTCTGGGGATGTGGAGAAGCACACGATCTCCACTCCTCTGATGGGAGGGTTCACACAACACTGCATGGGGCAATGTGCCAGTGTCAGTATTTAAAAGTGCCTACTTCTCTGGTCTAGCAATTCCCTTTCCAGGAATCTGTCCTACAGAATTACTTGCTCATGGACAAAGGAGATAAGTCACAGGACGTTGTTTTTTATGATAATTAGAAAACTGAAAACAACCTAAATGTGTATCAATTTGAGAATATTAATTACAGTATAATGGATTGTTACATCCATAATAAGGAATATTATTTGGCCATTTGAAGGATGAATTAAGTGAAAAAAGAAAGCCAGTAAGTTGATACAATCTCTTTGGATAACGACATGGTTAAGAGGGCTGAGGGGGAGCAGTTTTTACTCTATATACTTTTAAATTGCTTGAATATTTTATGATAAACCTACATTACTTTTATATTTATATTACTTTCATGGTTATAATTTATAGTTATGATTAAGTCAATGTTAGATGTAACTATTCAAAAATACACTGGCCACATGGGGACAGTTGCTGGCTGCACACCTCCTTAGGCCCTCCCTGCTCCATCTTAATTAGTCTCTCTCTAGATATTCTCCAAAATTCTTGCTAATCACTGGGGCGAAGTTATAGGCAATCCATTCCCTGTGTGACTAAGCTCCAGGTCTTTCTCTGCAATCTGAAAATTATCTATGATGTTCTGCTGAACATAGGACCAACTTCCTGTTCTTTTCTTCTTTGCAGCTCAAAACCTATGCAAAAGCTTTGGAAATATAACTCATTTTATTCTAAACCACGTTCTTGGGAAGAGTTCCCTCTCCTCATCCAGTAAAAAAACAGAAAAGCCATATAAATATATACATTTTTTTTCTCAGCTTAAAATTCTTAACATTTTCTTTTCCATACTATTTTTTTACCTTTCCCTCTTGTGTTAATAATTTTTGGCCATACTGCTGTGTTTTTGTTGAAAACCTCTTCTGATTTTTTTTTTTAGACATTGGTCATGTATAAATAAATACAGCCATATGCCGTATAATGCCATTTCAGTCAACGATGTACCATATATATGACGGTGGTCCCATAAGATAACAGAGCTGAAAGATCCCTATCACCTAATGACATCGTGGCTGTCCTGACATCATAGCACAACACATTACTCACATGTTTGTGGTGATGCTGGTGTGAACAAGCCTCCTGCTGCCAGTCGTATAAAAGTATAGCACGTACAATTATGTACAGTACATGATACTTGATAATGATAATAGATGATCATGTTAGTGGTTGATGTATTTACTATACTATATTTTTTATCATTACTTTAAAGTGTACTCCTTCTACTTGTTAAAAGAAAAAATTAACTGTATAACAGCCTCAAGCAGGTCCTTCAGGGGGTATTCCAGAAGAAGGCATTGTTATCACGGGAGACGACAGCTCCACGTGTGTTATTGTCCCTGAAGACCTCCCAGTGGGACAAGATGTAGACGTGGAAGACAGTGATATTGATGACCCTGACCCTCAGCTAATGTGTATGTTTGTGTCTTCGTTTTTAAGAAAAATGTTTAAAAACTTAAAAATAAAATATTTAAAAAGTAGTTAAAGTAGAAAAAAGCTTATAGAATAAAGATATAAAGAAAGAAAATATTTTTGTACACCTATACAATGTGTTTGTACCTATACAATGTGTACACCTATACAATGTGCTTGTGTTTTAAGTTAAGCGTTATTAGAAGAGTCAAAAAGTTTTTAAAAAATTGAAGGTTTATAAAGTTAAAAAGTTCCAGTAAGCTAATTTATTTATTATTGAAGAAAGAAAAAATTTTTTTATAAATTTAGTGTAGCCTACGTATACAGTGTTTCTAAAGTCTGCAGCAGGGCACAGTAATGGCCTTGGCCTTCACATGCACTCACCACTCACCCACTGACTCACCCAGAGCAACTTCCAGTCCTGCAAGCCCCATTCATGGTAAGTGTCCTACACAGGTGCACTATTTTTTCTCCCTTATACTGCATTTTTACTGTGCCTTTTCTCTGTTTGGATATATTTAGATTCACAAATACTTACCATTATGTCACAAGTGCCTACAGTATTTAGTATCGTAACATGCTGTACAGATTTGTAGCCTCGGAGCAACAGGCTCTACCACGTAGCCTAGGTGTGTCGTAGGTTGCACCATCTAGGTCTGTGTGCGTACACTCTGTGATGTTCACGTGACGATGAAATCACCTAACAAAGTGTTTCTCAGAATGCATCCCTGTCATTAAGCGAGGCATGACTGTATACACATACATGGATGAATAAATACAATAATGTACACAGTCAGGGTCCATTCAGAAAAGAAACCATAGTAGATTTTTCAATGTTTAATACCAGGAAATGTTTATATAGATGTCGGAGGCTAAAAAGCATGCAAGGGCTGCCGAGATAACCCAGAGATTAGCAAGTGCAAAAGGTGGCTACCATTCTTTAGCCTGAGGGACAGAAAGGAATAGGTGAGCTTCCAGAACCCAGAAGCTGGCAGGAGAGCCTCCCACCTGCCACCCCAGCTGGCGCTGGCACTTCTGAAGACACGTGGTATGGCCGATGCGGGGAGGCCAAGAGCAGCTGGAGGCTGGAACAGGAGCAGTCACCTGTTGCTGGAGAGGAAGGCAGTCTCTTCTCCTTCCCCTCCTTCCAGGCTCTTTCTAGTGCCTCCCATTGGCAACAGCCAGCTGGCAATAGAAGGTAAGGAATATGGGTTGCAGATCCCAGCCCTGGCACCACAGAGCAAAGTACCAAGGAGTGAGCTTAAAGCCAAGAAACGGTGGGTGGACACCCAGCCTGTGCATAAGGCTTTTGCAGCCCGGCTCCAGGGCCTCCCACTCCCAGCTCCCGAGGGCGTCTTTGGCCCTGCAGAGCCTGGTAGAAGGCCCCCCTTCTCCCAGTCGCTTCACTGAGATTTATCTCACCCAACCTACTGAGAGAAAGAAATCTGATTATCTACCAGAACAACTCAGACTAATGTTGATTTTTTTTCACTGTTTGTCTTTTTGTGTATTTTTTAGCAATCCGAAAGATTCTCATTGAGAGGACTGTGGAAGGGAAGTCTTTTTGAAGAAAAGACCTTTCTAAGGGCACAGGGGAGGAGTTTTCTGCCAAGCAACAGTAGTAGAGGGTCGGAACTGGGCACGGTCCTTCTAGGAGTGTCTGGTGCTCATCCGAAGCCCCACGGAAAGCAGGCCCAGGCTTAGGCACAGGTATTCACGGCAGCAATGTCCTTGTGCCATTTACCGCTCGAGCTGGACCTTCGCTCTTTTTCCGCAATGTACTGGCCATTCCCTCCCTTCCCCTGTCCTGTCGGCCCTTTTCTGTCCACAGTGTATCCACCTGACCCCAACTTGAAGATCAACCATAGAACCGACTCTGGAACCGAAGCTCGGCTGGTGGGGAGAGACTCCCCCAACCCTGGAGGACACAGCCTCGGGCCTCGCAGAGAGTCTGGCCATGTCCTGTGACCACAGTCCTCGTGCCTGAGCTCTGGCATGCCCTCAACGCCTTCTGTCTACACTTGGTACCAACCTTTCTCTTGTCTGTCTCCCTGGAAGAGACATAAAATCCTGTATCTGGGCCTAGGAGTTGAGACTTTCACATAGCTCCACCCCTCACTGTACCTCTGGTTCTCACCTGTTCCTGAATTCTCCCACTGGCTCCATCTGCGGTCCAGCACGCCCTGCTGCTCGCTGATCTGTTCTTGCCTTGCCCTGAGATGTCATCTTCACCCATTTGCAGTGACCGGTCTGCCCCCAACTACATCCCCGTGGTGGGTTGACTGCCAGGTCCTGCGCAGTAAGGTAGGGAACTCAGGACCTTGAGCTCAACTGAGAAAAAACTGTAAATGTGAGGTATCAAGTATACTGATATTCTAAGAGAACTAGTATTTCTGGACTATTCCAGAAGAGGATAAGGTTCTTTTACTTCATAGACACAAGTTATTCTCTTCAAAATGGGAGAAGCGATCCTGACTTAGGGAGCTCTGAGTGTTTTGGAGCTCTGGACTGGGTAGGCTGCAGGTCCAGGGAGGGCAGCGAGTTTAATTGAG